AACACAAGTACATCTTAATGTCAATTGCATTGAAAATGAATTTTTCTGTATTAAACTGTGTATTTTAGTAATGAAATGGAGATCTTTTTTAAAGGTTAAAACCTCATTTAATTTTATGTCTTACAGGGTTTACAATGAGTACAATATTGTATAACTGTATTAATTCAACTGTGAACCTAAAAATTTACAGCCAATTTTGAAAGAGGTGCATCTTAGCTCTGGTAATTGTTACTGAATATGTCAATGCTGTTTTAATGAAATACTTCTTCTGATTATGTGGTTATTAAATAAATATTTTTTTTAAAAAAAAATTCTACACTACTACCAGTACCAAGCACATTACAGCAACTACTAGTTCCCATGTGGTTCCAAAAGCAAGATTCCTTCTGAATGCTGATGTTTCTAGTCCTTCAAAGTAATTTTAATTGCCTTAATTTTAAACAAATTTTAATATATATTGGTTAATACTGTCAAATATTGACATATTACCCAAATTCAAAAATGAATTCACCCAATTAACTGTACAATAAATATGATGTATATTAAAAATGGGCATAATATGTTGGAAGTATTTCAGATCTTGAACTGAGTTGTAAATGCTCACTGAGCTACATCTGCACATTTCAGAAATGTGTGCTTGGCTGCATTTATGCCATGCCCCAACAACAACACTTTTTAAACAGATATAAGTAAACTACCTTCTCCAATACTATGAAACTACTGTGTTGATCATAGATACTTCCTGAGTAGTTTTTACATATAATGGTATTAGGTTTTTTTATTCTTGCTTTAATTCCAGTAAGTATAGAAATATATCTGTGACTTGTTTGGGGAAATGACCAGTTAGAATGTGCTAGGTATTCTCTGAGATTTCCAATAATTCTACCATCTAGCACACAAATACAAAAAGTTAAAAGATAAAAACTATGAAATTATAAAGCAAGAGTTACAATGTTCTTTGAACTCTAGAAATTCATCATTTTTAAAGTATGAATATACTGAAACATTAACATTAGCAGTAAGTCTTGACCTAGACTGTGATATAAATTCCACCATAAAAAATAAATAAGCAGAGCTAAGTATGGTACCACATGCTTGTAATACCAGCATTGGTAGACTGGAAAGAAAACTGAGTTCAAGGTCAGTCTAGGTTATATAATGAGATCCTGTCTCAAAGAAAATACATTTAATCTTCCTTTATTTTAATTATGTAACACACCTGCCAATCGTTTGTATCATTCATCTTAACTTTCTCTTAAATGAAGGGAAAGGAGTTCATTTCAATCTAATTTCTCCACAAGTAACCCTCATGATTAACAATCTGAATACCATCACTAAATTATAAAGATTATCCTTGAATAAATTAAGGAAACCACTGTAAAATTCAAACCACAGGAATAAATTCGTGATGAAATTTAAGATCCTAATGAACCAATACTAAATCTATCCAGTTAGAAAAGCTTTATACTTAAATTATACCTTGAGAGATCTTTAAGGATAGCAGTTTAGCAAAATGGATAAATTAATTAATCTGGGGATCTGAATGAGGTGGAATACCAATTATATCATCAACTAGCTCTGTAACTACCAGCAAAGACAAACATCTGTGCTTCCATTATTTTATCTTTTTAACTGACATATAACCACTGTACATATTATAGGGTAGGGTGTAACAATCTGGTACATGTGTAAAATTGTGATGATCAGATAAGAGTCATTGGCATTTACATCTTTTATACATTTATCACTTCTTTGAATTATAAATTTCCAAAGTTTTCTTTTCTATATAATAAACTGTAAACAATAATCACCCCACAAAGTATAAAACGCCAGAACTCATTCCAATTATCCAATTTCCTACTTACCCTTCCTGATTTCCAGTGGTCACTATTCTAATCTCTACTTCAATGAAATGAACTGGTTCTTTTTTTTTTGTTGTTAGCAGTGATGGTTTGTGCATATGTGTACATGTTTGTGTATGTGCAGGCACACATGTGTATGTGTACATGTGGAGGCCAGGGGTTAACCTCAGGTGTCTGTCCATGAAAGTCATTCACCTCACTTGTGTTTGGTTGGTCGGTTGGTTGGTTGATTTTGGCTGTTTATCTACAGGGTCTCTCACTGGCCTGGAACCTGCCAAGTAGGCTAGGCTGGCTGATAAAAGCCTAGTAGCCTCCTAGGACTTTTACGTGGGTACTGGGGATCACACTCAGGTCCTCACACTTCCACAGCAAGCACCCTGCCAACTGAGCATCTCCTCATTTTGAAATCAACTGTTTTAGATCCCACATAAGTGAGAACATGTGGCATTTGTCTTTCTGCATGTTTTCCAATAAAGCAGCAATAATTATGCCTGCTTCCCAGATCAGAAAACAACAGTGTCTATGAAAATCATGTTGTATGGTGAGTAGCTCAGAATTTATATGTATAAACTTTATCATCATTGCATGGTACCAAGTCTTGCGAAATCTAAGAATTGGTTTCATAGACGTCGAGAGTAGAATGGAGGTCACAGGCTGAGAAGAACAGAACAAAGAGGAGGCACAGACTAGTCCATGGGCACTAGGGTATAGTATGTGGGAGTGTCCTAGTTTGTCTCTCCAATGCTGTGACAAAATACTCTGACCAATACCAACTTGGGGAGGAAAGGTTTTATTTTATCTTACATCTCCTGGGTCACAGTTCATCAGGGAACCCAAGGTAGGAACTCAGGGCAGGAACCTGGAGGCAGGAGCAAGAGCACAGGCCACGGAGGAACTCTGCTTGCTGGTTTGTAAGTAAAACATAAAGTTTGCAGAGGTCCAACAGAAGAAACTGGAAGTTTTATTCACTAATATTCAAGCAGAATTTAAAGATCCTGAAGAAAATACAACAAAACGGTGTATGCCATCCCCTGCACTCACAAAGCAGCAAGTCCACTCTCTCCAGGATGGTGCAGATCTTTATGAAGCAATGAAAAATGCACCAGACCTGGATTACCTTGAGGTGAGAAGACGAGTCAGATGACAAGCCTTGGTCCCTATCCCTTTGGTTATGAAGCTGTATGTCAGAATGCTACATCTTTCAGAAGGGTGACTTCTCTGACATATTTTTGATTCTGCATCAAGAATTGATGACAGTGTTTATGAATTTCATGTTAAATAAAGGATTCTGAATGCTTCCATCATAAAGAAAAGATACTTGAGGAGGAGACAGATTTAAGTTGATTCAAATGGATACATACATCAAAAAATTCTATGTACAGTTTTTATGTTTTATGTATAAGCTGAAAAATAAACTTTGCCTGGGAATGTACCTCAATGGTAGCCTGCCTGCATACTTAACAATGCCCAACACCAAAAAAGTAAAATAAAATAGTAAGAGTAAATTGATGAGTGAATAATTTTTTTATTTTAATTTATTTATATTTTACATGTCTGAATGTTTTTTCTGAATGTATGTAAGTGCACCCATGTGTGCAGTACCCATGGAGGCCAGAAACGGCTGCTGGAACCCCTGGAGCTGAAGTTATAGACAGTTGCTAGCCACTACATGGGTGCTGGGAACTGAACCCTGGTCTTCTGCCAAGAGCAGCCAGTGTTTATAACTGCTGAGCCATCTCTCCAGCCCCACGAATAACTTCTTCAAAAAGAATTCCATTACTGTAATATTTTTATTATTAAAAGAAACAGAAAGGCAGGCAAAATGAAAATATGTTGGTCAAAGGACACAGGTTTCAGTTATGTAGGATGACTAAGTTCTAACAAGTTAGTGCCCAGCTCAGTGACCATGGCTGTTAGTACTTATTGTAGACTTGAAACTTGAAAACAAATCTCAATGGTATATGAGATGGTGATGGCTATGTTAACTGACTTTACTCCCATGTACATATCTCTCAAACCATAAAGATGTATACCTTAAATACCAACAATTTTTAGTTGCCAATTATACCTTAACAAGCTGAAGAGGCAGTAAGAGGAATATAAACATAAAATGTGATGCAATCTAGCACTTTTAGGAACATAAAACACTTTGGCCTCTCCTCTCCTTCCCCTTTCCTATTTGTTCATACTAATCTAATCTCTCATCATTTTGTTCTTAGTAATCTGGAAAAAAAGTTGAAAAAATATTTTCACTACCTCAAATACAAGCCCAGCTACGTTGGAAAATAACACAAAAGATATACAATTGTTAACTCAAATAGAACACTTAAAAACAGACATCACCAGCTTTTATCATTTCAAAATAAACATCAGCCATTTCAAAACAAAATGGATTTGCCTATCAGGAGAGAGCCTCACAAAACTCCCCAAAGAATAAACAAATATGTACTGTTTGGTTTGGTTTTGGCAAAATTCAAGTGAATATGGAAGCTGACTTGTAACAAAGCATAGATAAAAATTATTTTTCATGTATTAAAATGCATGACCTTCTCTTATACCCAGCTAATACAGCTTATATGCCCACCTGATTTGGGGATCCGCCCACCTGGGTCCAGCCAGGACAGAGAGAGCAGTATACTCCACCGGGTTATAGTCTTGCCACTCAACCAGCCAGCCCACTTTCTCATTAGGAACTTGACTTCTTTCAACTTTTGAACCTGGGTAAGGGGACGTCCGAGCCTTGTTATGGGAATTCTCTTTGGCACCATTAGAACCAGACATGATGCTGGCACTAAGGTGGAGCTCACAGAATGAAAATGAGTTTCTGGGGAAGAAAAAAAAGGTAAATCATTTCACAGATTATAGACCAAAAGTATATGAATTAGAGAACCTAACTCAAAGATTTCAAAATATTTTCCTAAATTTTAAAAATCAGAAAACTCAAGTTTGGTGCATTTAACAGCCCATGTGACAGAGGTGGTTTTTCAAATATGAAGATTTTGAAAAATAGCTAAATCTGGACTGGAGAAATAGCCCAGTCAGTAAGGTGCTTGCTATGCAAGCATGAGGACCTGAGTTCAGAACCCCAGCACTCTCATAAAAGCTGGATGTGACAGCACATGTCTGTAAAAGAGGGCTGGGGGACAGCACAGGCAAATACCTGGAAGTCAGCAGCCAGCCAGCCAGCCTAGTCAATCAGTGAGCTCCATGTTCACTGAGAGACCCTGTCTCAAAAAATAAGGCAGTGAGCAACAAAAGAAGACATCTGATGGTGACCTCTGGATCCCTCATACACACATATACACACACATGTGCACCCACAAACATACATGCATACACCTACACAAACATATACACACATGTGCATCCACAAGCATACATGAACATGCCTACAGAAACATACATCACATGCACGCAAGCATCCACACACATGAATCCTATTAACTGCAGCCTATTGGTTGACTTTATTTTAGCTGAGGAAATAAAGGGTAGAAGTTTACTTTTGTGTTATCTGTTAGGAAAAGGAAGTTTGTTATGAGAACTCAACCATGAAAACAAATACAGGCATTTATAAATAAATCTGCTTAAAAAATTTCTGCATCCAAGTTTTTGGGTACATAGTTTTTCGGCTCTCTTGGGCAGTACCAGAGAGTGACTAGTGAATTATATAACAGTATGTTTATTTTTGTAAGAAACTGCCAAACATTTTCTCTGCTTTGACTTTTGATTAAATTCTTTCCTACTGTTTGCTGTCTACAGTTCTAAGTGTAGCAAGCTGTTCTCTTTCATCCCAGTCAGAGACTTTGAAAAATGCTATTTGTTTGGTACTTACTCTATATTCATGAGGTACTATCAAGCTCCAAAATTCAGGAAATGCCCAACCAATAAAGTTAATATCCCCAGAGAGGCTGGATGCTAGTGTAAAATGGGGGGTATCTGACTTGTGACTAACTTTATCAAAAATGAAAAGTGCAGTTCCCCAGGGTGGTAGCAATCCCAGCACTGTGGAGGCATGAAGATTACCAGTTCAAAGCCAGCCTGGCCTACTTAGCAAGACTATATCTCAAAAACAAACTAATTAAAGTGGTAGGTTTCTGTGATTTTCATGTTTTAACTTGCTTCCTTCAGCTGCTACAGCTCTGGAAAGTCAAATACTGAATTCTCTGAAAAAGATCTTCCTCACTCATCCTAAGCTCATACTCAACAAAAATGTATAAGTATGAAACTTATCTAAATTAGTGAACAGATTCTAGTTATGTGGCTTCTTTTTTTTTTTTTAAGTTAACATATAGCACCCTGTTCTCTATTACAAAATGAGAGATGAGTCTCATGGGTGGGAGTAAGCAAGAAAAGTGTTCATTATCCCATTCTATGCCAACCCGAGGCTCTCTGTTCCACAGTTTAGGGAAGACTAAGCAGGCAGAACTGTACAAATGTGCTAAGAGACTTAAACACCTGTTTACCTTCCCAAGTAAATTTAATTTTGTTTTTTTTGGGGGGGGGGTCTTTTTGAAACAGGGACTCCCTGTAGCTTCAGCTGGCCTGGAACTCCCTATGTAGACCAGGCTAGCCTTGAACTCTCAGAGATCTGCCTGCCTCTGCCTCCCAAGGGCTGGGATTAAAAGACATACGCCACCACTCCTGGCTGTAAATTTAATTTCTTAAGAAAAATAATGGGGCTAGTAAGATGGGTAAGCTGTCAAGAGCGCTTGCTACCTGTCCCAGTGTGCATCTCTATTGCTGTTATAAAACAGGAACCAAAATCAACGTGGGGAGGAAAGGGTTTACTTGGCTTACACGTCCATATCACAGCCATCACTGAGGGACATGAGGGCAAAAACTGGAGGTAGGAGGTGAAGCAGAAACCATGGAGGAACACTGCTTACTGGCTCGCTTTCACTGGCTTGCCCAGCTACTTTTCTTATACAGCCCAGGCCCAGCTGCCCAGGGATGGTACCACCCATAATGGACTGGGCCCTGGTACATCAATTAACAATTAAGGAAACATCTCACAGACTTGCCCACAGGTCAGTCTGATGGAAGTTGCAGTTCTTTCTTCCCCAGTGACTCTAATTTGTGTCAAGTTGACAAAAACTATCTAGAACACTACCTAATCATGAGGACTGGAGTTTAGATCCCAGCACCCATGTAACAAGCCAGGCAACCCACGCATGCCTGCAACTCCAGCTCTGAGGGACGTAGAGACAGAAGAATCACTATGGCTTGATGGCTTCCAACCTAGCCAAAAAATCAGGCCCCATGTTCAGGGAGAGAACCTGCCTCAAAGGAATAGGGAGAGAGTGATGGAAGAGGAAACCCAGCACTCTCTTCTGGCCCCCACATTGGGACACAGGCATGCACACCTGCACACGCGTGCATGCACGCACACGTGTGTATACACACACACACATATACGTCAGATACCTGCTTAAATAAATAAATGAATAAATAAATTTTAAAAGGAAATACAGCAAAAGAAAAATCTGACTATGCATCTTACAACACAGGCAAATGCTAATCCCATTTACATCTGCTCTCCAATATAAGACACTGAATCAGAATCTAAATCCAGGCTCTAAACTCTACGCTACTGTACCTCTACTTAGTATTCAGCTCACATATAGTATTTACATGTATGCACAGGAACAAAACACACAATGTTCTCTACTTATGTCATTGATAAAACCTGTTGGGAAATTTGGAAACCTGATTTCTCAGACACAATCTTTTTTTTCTAGAAAAGATATTTGAAACTCTCTAGGTAAATCACAAATATTAACTATAAAACTATCATTTTCTGGATTTTCCTTAATTGTTCAAGAGTCACAAAATTATTTTTATATATTTTTATTTATTCTTTGAGAATTTCATACATGTATGCAATGTATTTTGATCATAGTCAATCCCACTCCTCCCTCCAACTTCTCCCCATCAATCATGTCCCCCTCCCAACTTTATGTCTTTTTTTATTGTATTTTTATGTTTAATTATGTGTATATGCATGACATTTACATATGGGTTTGTGCACATGAGTGGAGGCCAGAGGAGAGCATTGGATCCCCTGGACCTGGGTTACACAAGGCTGTGAGCAGCCCCAGCCAGGTGGTAGGAACACAACTCAGTATGTGCTCTTAACCACAGAGCCATCTTTCCAGCACCCCTCTCCTTTGAAAAAAAAAAAAAAGAAGCAATAATCCACTAAGTCTACTTAGTGCTACCTATATGCACAAGGGTGTGGAGCAAGGTCAACCTACCAGGGGCCACACACCTTAAAAAAAACTGCAAAGCTACAAAGTTCTTGACAATACATTTCTTTTGCCTCTCCCCAGATGTTCTGCAATATTTGATTACCAGGTATTCAATGCATATTTTTTGGCTTAAATTTTGGCTTTTCTTCTGAACCAATATTCAGTTTCTGGTTCTGGATACACCTCTAATTTAGAGTTCCCTTCCCTGCCTTACTAAAATAAAGAGTAACAGCCACTTTGCACTGTTCTGTTGGCAACCAACACAAATAACACTGATTTCCAGAGAGCACCTACATGAATTCCTTCCCTCCCCAAATTCCACAGAAAGAAGACAAAGATGTACAAAAGGAAATTAAATCCACACCAGCAGACAAAGGACAGTATAAATGGACTGGCAGGGTTTTTAACCTATGTCAGGAAGACAGAAAATGGATGGAACCATAGTGGCCTACAAACCAGAGTGTAAGTCATTCATATTTAAAGATATACACAAAAAAAGTGATGGGAAGATGTCATACTTGCAAGGCGAGCCTGCAGAAATGCCAAACTTGAAGTCAGTGAGCTCAAAAGTCCTATAGAGACATATGTCAGTAACTATGGAAATTAACTTCCTCCTCAAAACCGAAACTTAGTGACAGTAATGCTTGTCTCCTGGATAAAGTCAAAGGTTGGGTGTGTTCTATTTTTACAGGGAAGAGAGAATTAGGACCACTACTATGAAGAGTTATGTTTGACAACTTGACACTCTGAGGCTTAATAACTTTACAAGTCACACTAGAAAATAAAATTGAGGAAACTATACCCAGCAGAGAAGCTGCTCCACCACCATTACATAATGTCTCGGAAATAAGAAGGCCCCAGTCTCTCCAGCGGTACCTAACACCCAGAGCCAATAGTCAACATGCCTTCCTGTGTATAGAAACAATATCTTTACTCAACATTAATATATATTTCCATTATATGTATTAAGTAACCTGTCTCACAGGGCAATACCAGCAAATGCTCTTTAAATTCTGGTGACCTATGATTATGCTGGTGGCTTGCAGCGGATGGAAAAATTTTAAATCACTGGTCAAAAAAGGTCTTTGAGACTACTGTTCCTCAAAAAAAAAAAAGGGTAATGAGATATGGCTCCGGAGTTATGTGCACTGGCTGCTCTTCCAGAGGACACGGGTTCGATTCCCAGCACCGAGGTAGTGGCTAACAACCATCCACAACTCCGGTTCTATCCATAACTCCAGTTCCAGAAGAATTTAACACCCTCTTCTGACCTCTGTAGGCAGTGCAGGACATAGGCGCACTTTACAAACATACAGACAAAACACATACAAAATAAATGTAAATAGGTAAGTAAATAAATAGGTAGGTAAATAAATAAATCCGGTACGCCAGCAAGGCCTACGGAATCCTCGGTTAAGGAAGGTGGGGATTCCCAGCCCAGCCCATCCCAAGATCTGGGGATAGCAGCCGGTACTAGAAGCGGGAATACCTGGACGCCGGGATGCTGCGGCAGCCAGAGGACCTGACAGTCACAGACGCAAGGGCCACTGAGAGAGATACGGTGGCTAAAGCCTTTCGCAGGGAGCGTCCGGCCATGGGCGCCCGGCGGCTGGGCGGAGCTGGCTCGGCTCCCGTGGGCCTCACCTCCGCCACCCAGTAGCCCGAGCCCAGCGCCAGATAGCCAGCGGGCACTAGAACCTGGCCGCCCTCCCGTCCCGGGCGGAGCTGCTTCTACCTGGAAACACAGACCAGGGGCCCTCCCAAAGCCACAGTCCCGCGAGCCCCGCAGAGGGACGCGGATGTCAACCCAGCAGCAACACCGAGGATCCCAGGGCCAACTTCAGCAGGCGCCTCCGAAGTCCCGGTGCACGACACCGCTTACGGCTCCGCCGCAAAGTGAAACAGACAGCCTCAGCGGCCGGCCTTCCAGGTTCCAGGTCTGCGCAGGCGCACTCGGGGCGAGTCCGTGGGACGCCTAAGGACTTGACCAAAAGGAGGAAAGGCCTGGAGGTGAAAACGGAAGTAAGGAAAGATTAGCGAGAAGCTTGCTGCCTGTGTCTCCGAGAAAGGAAGGCTTTGCAGAACCACACCAGGCCTGGTCCTATAAGCAGTTCGAAGCTAAGGGAAGAAGTATGAGTGATTCAGACCAGGCGTCTTGAGGGGCTTCTATTCCTTGCCTGCCATTCCTGTAGTTGCTAGGTTTCAGGAGGCTTTGCTTGGTGTGGCCCTGGAAACGTTGCAGAGCAGTCTGTTAACCAGGGCCATACCATTTTCTAAAGTCCCTCCATGTTGGTTGAATTGTGACAGTTCCTGAACGTACAGTCATTTGGTTTCCAGAACCAAAGTAACTTGTTCTTCTAAATTCTTGCCCTCCCCATCCTCATAACCAGTTCAGAGACAGCCTGACTGTTCATCAGTCAAATGGTACAGATCCTTCTCCTCCCTCTGAAACTTGTAATAAGGGACCACCACCTTTCTGGGACATGAGCCTGAACTCTCTTCAGAACCCTCTTCATGCTGCTGTCTGTGGTGTTAATAATTATTCTAATAAATCGCTTCCCCAAAAGAACAGTCCACCTGCCTGTCCCCTTGGAAGCCAAAATCCAAAGCCTTTCATTGACAAGCTGTAAAATAGGCACACAACCTGAATAATAAACTCAAATAAATGATTGGTTCTCCAACCAAATTTGTATTCTGGCTTTCACTTATTTGATTATTAATGTGGCAGTTCGTAAAATTTAAATATATGATCAAGTTTTCCACCCACCCATGCAGTTCAAAAACAGACACTATAAGGCTTTGGCAGTGTTCAAAGGTAGGTCAATCTGCTATAAACAAGTTTGGGGGTTGAAAAGAAAAACCACCACTCCAATTAAAGTGTATCTACAAGGTAAAACTTTACTTCTGATCAGAAAAATGCACAGCAGACAAAATCAGAGAAGCAAGCACACTGTGGGAAATTTGATAGGTTTTTATACTAACACAAGAGTACTGTGTCTTTTTCCCCATTCAAGAATCCCACCTGGAAATCTTTTGCTGTTGGATAGTTTTAAAAGGAACTGGCACAAAAGAAATGAAGGAAAGGTGAAAGATGTCTGCTATCCCCCCATTCATCAAGGTCCAGTAATGTAGCAAGGCCTTTGCATAAACCGAAGTTTTACAAGGTCAGAGAGAGAAAAAGATTTTAATTTCCTATCATAAAGTAAAGTGCCACAGTGTTTGACAGAACAGACTGATACAATGTTTCTTACAAAGCCTCTTTTTTTTTTTTTTTTTTTTTTTTGAGACAGGGTCTCCCTGTAACCCCAGCTGTCCTGGAACTCACTATGTAGACCAGGCTGGCCTCAAACTCATAGAGATCCACCTGCCTCTGCCTCCCAAGTGCTGGGACTAAACTTGGGTGGTGCTACCATCCCTGGCCCTTCCTCTTATTTTTAGGCATTCTTTTCTTCAAATGTATTAAGATTTTGGCTCTCTTTTTCTGTCATATCTTAGACTAAGAAACTGCTATAAGGAGGAGGTGCCTGTTTGGTAATAGCTGACTCAATAAGCCTCTGAGTTAGGCCCCTAACACAAGGATAATACTGCAGCCAAACAGATTTGGGACACCTACCAGGATGACCAAGATTAGCATAGAGTCCATGAGATCCTTCCATTTTCTAAACCATCCTTCAAGTAGGTCAGAGAATGGCTCACTTATTGCTAAATTTTTGTTTTAGTTCTTTATAAAGGGACTTAAAGCCTTGGAGAGCTCTTGCAACAGTTCCATTTAGGGTTGTGTTGTTGGAGATGAACATACAACATTAGCATTACACAAATACCTCCTTTTTCTGTGATCGCCATGTCTAATATTAACTTTCCCAGGCTTTTTTTGTTTTGTTTTTTATTTTGGGGGGGGTTTTTTGTGAGCTCTAATTGTTTAGCAATTACCTCAACTGCATCCCTAGTGATAGAATATGTGAATTGCAGAAGAGCCACAAGCCCCATTAGAGAAAGCCATAAATCCCTTAAAGTGTCTAACTGGCCCTAAATTAGCAGCCTGGTCTTGCTCAAATCTGGCCTTGCTCAAGCCTTATCAACTAGTCACTCCCTGGACTGAGAGAGACTGTGGAGCCCACCTGTCTCCTTTAGTGCTATAGATAACTCACTCACCTGTCTGAGAAAAGAGACCCTCAAGGACACCAGACCATGGCACAGAGTTAATTCTTGCACCTGTGCAGCAGAGTTCCTATGTAAGACCAGACTGCTCCCTATTCAGAGCACAGATAATCATTCTTCAAGGAACAGCTTTTATCAGCCCTTTGTTGGGCTTCCTGAATCCAGGGAGCACATTTCTTGCCTTTTGCAGGTCTGGCTTTGACTCTTATTTCTATAAACTCCTTCCTTTTTCCCACCTCCTAAATCTAACACCTAGTATAGTTAACAAATCTTTTGATTAGAATATATAAAACTGGGGGTCTGGAAAGATGACTCAGTGATTAAGAGCACTGACTGCTCTTGCAAAGGACCCCGGTTCAATTCCCAGCACCCACATGGTGACTACGAACCACCCTTAACTCCAGTCCCAGGGGATCCGATGCCCTCTTGTGACCTCCGTGACATTGCACAACACAGGTACACTCACATACATGCAGGCTATACACTCATAAAATTTTTTTAAAAATATATAAAATTAGGGACTGAAGAGATGGCTCAGCCATTAAGAGCACTGACCACTCTTGTAGAGGACCAGGCTTTGATTCCCAGCACCCACATGGTGGCTAACAACCATCTGTAACTCCAGTTCCAAGGGATCCAACATCTTCTGACCTCTGGGGGCATTGCACGACACAGATGTACACATGTAGGTGATACAATTATACACAAAAAAATAATAAATATATTTTAAAATTCATTAAGAATA